AATAAAATTAACCTCTTTTAAAAAAAAATAAATAAATAAAAAATAATAAAGCTTGTATGTTGTAAATAGGATTCACTAAATTTTACATGGAGTATATTGATAAACAAAAGAGATTTTTTAAATTCCTTTTACAACTGCTTAGAATTCCATCATGTAGATGTACTGTAATTTATTTAACCAGTCTCTTTTTGATGGATGTTTAGGTTGTCTCTATTGGAATCTTCTGCAATTAAATAAAACTTCATACAGCTTTTCTTTGTTATTCTTACTACTTTCTTTTGGAACACAGGTGCAGAGGGTTGAACTACATCCACTATTTATGGCACTATGTAACTTTACTCTGTAGTGAAGCCCCTCATTTATTTTATATTTATTCGTTCCCTTCTATACTCCTACCCCACTCCAAAGCCCTTTCCCCACCCATAGGCAAACATTCCATTACATGTGTCTTTTTGTTTGTGTGCATTTTACGAAGTGTACATTGTGAATATGTGCGTGTTTTACATTTAAGTATTTTTGTTAAGTTACAACTTAACATACTTTTGCCCTACCCTTTTTGATGTACAGTTCCACAACTTTTGACCAACATGGAATGTCATATAGCTACCACCTCAGTCAAGATATGGAAAAACTTCATCATCCCCAACCTCCCCCTTGTTCCTTTGCAGTTAGTCCCATCCTCCACCCTCTTACACTGTTGATGTGTAGGGACAGAAGAGATTTCACCTTTGCGAGAATGTCGTATTAATGGAATCACACAGTATGTAGCATTTTGAATCTGGAGGGGTTTTGTTTTGTTTTGACTGAAGTGGCAGTCAAAGTTGAGAACATCTAGGACAGATCATTCCTAACCCCCAGATTGGGAGAGGTATAATATTCAGCAATTCCTCTCCCAGGCCGCATATCCCAGAAATATTCCCCGCAGTGCCTAAGGATAAGATATTCCCCCACAGTCCCTCAGTGTGTTCACTGATATGTTTTTTGTAGTGATGGAGAGTTAGAGTCAGAGCCTTATAATAAGATATTCTGAGAGAAGTGTCACTCCCCTGTCATCACTACTACCTCATCCCTCCTTTGTTTCCACCTCATTCTACAGCCTCCCTGTATAGGTAGCCAATCTCATTATTTTTTTAAGTACCTTCCTGTATTTCCTTTGTGCAGATGAGCAGATAAGTGGATGTTTTCCTATATCCCCTTCTTTCTTACATGAAGGGTAATATTAATTATAGCACTCTTTGCACTGCTTTTTGCACTTATAATGCATCCTGAGAATCACTTCAGATCGGTTCATAGTGGTGTTTCTTATTCTTTCTTTACAGCTGTATAGCACCCCATTGTGTAGCTATAGTTTATTCTACCATTCCTTTATATGGGAATTTAGATTGTTTTTAGAATTTAATTTTAAATCTAATTTGTTTTAGAAATTAGATTCCTTTATATGGGAATTTAGACATTTTGCAGTTGTAACAATGCTACAATGAATAACCTTGTGCGTATGTATTTTGTTTCACTGGAGGTGTATATTCCAAGTAGATTACCAGAGCGATGTGGCCAGATCAAAAGGTAAGTGCACAATTTAGGCGTTGCCTAGTTCCCCTACAGAGGGGGGTGTGTCAGTTTGCATTCCCACCAGCAATGTCTGAGAGCTCCTATATCTCCAGTCTTGCTGTAGGCGTTTGTATTTTTCTAATTGTGACTGAAGCTTGAACACTTTTTCATATGTTTCAGGTGGGTTTTTAAACCTTTTCAGTGCATTGTTTATATTTTTTTCACATTTCTCTATAAGACTTTTGGTCCCTTGTTCCTCAATTCTTAAGGGTTCTTTATATATTAAGAGTAATAATACTTTGTGGTATATGTTGCAAACATTTTCTCCAAGTTTGTCAATTGTCTTTTGACTTTGTCCATAGAAATTTCTGCTATGCATTAAACCATTGTTATATAGTCAAATTTTTCAGTCTTTTCTCACCTCTGGATTTTGAAACAGAACTAGAAAGCCTTTACTTACACATAGGTTAAAGAAGAATTCACCCAGTTTTTTTGTTTTTGTTTTTTCTAGTACTTGTACAGTCTTTCACATTTATGTCCCTAATCCACTCGTAGCTTATTCCTGTGTATGGTATGAGATATAGATGCTAATTTTATCTTTTTCCAAATGGCTACCCAGTTGACCCAGCACTATTTACTAAAAATGTCAGTTGCTGCCACAGCGATTTCAGATTCCATCTCTAGCATGTACTAAATTTCTACTGTACTTGAATCTATTTCTGGTCTTTCTATTCTATTCTACTGTTCTGCTTGTTTGTTCCTGAACCAGTGCCACACTGTTTTAATTATAGATGTCTTATAATGTGTTGCAATGTCTGGTAGGAGCTGGTTCCCTTTGTAGTTTTTCTGTGCCAGGGTTTTCCTGGTTTTCCTTGTGGATATGTTGTTAATTTAATGGAATGATTTTGTGTTATAGATCTCATCCTATTGCTCACTTTTTTCACTAAGCCTTCTATCCACATGCCATTTCTATATCTCACCTGTTGTTGCTCCCTACTGCTGCTGGGTACTCCATGGTGCACATCTACCACATTTTACCCTCTGGCCTCCCAGGGATGGACACCCAGGTGGCCTCTAGCCAGTGGTGTGCTAGGGCCAGCTTGTCTGTGCTCTGTGACACCATGTTGGTAGTTCAAACTTTGCCATGTAGAGAGATTTATAATTAAGGACTTGGCAAATGGTACAAACCAGAGCTTTTTTTTTTTGAGAGCCTGTTTGCCAGCACACCATTGCCTCTATCTCTCCATCACTACAAAAAACATTTTAGTAAACATCTGAGGGACTGAGGGGGAATGTCTTTGTGATATGAGCTTGGGAGAGGAATTGCTGAATATTATACCTCCCTCAACCTGGGAGTCAGGAGTGATCTGTTCTAGATGTTCTCAGCTTTGGCTGCCACTCAGATCCCCTGGGCAGGAGAAATATGATGTCTGGGTCCCATCTGCAGAAATTCGGATTGCAGTCAGTCTGGCATGGGCTTGTGCACTGGTTCTTTACAAAGCTCTCAGGTGATTCTCATGAGCAAACAGGATTGAGAACCACTGGTATAGAACCAGGATAATGGGAGTGGAAAGCCAGGCAGGGCTGGATATATCTAAAGCTCATGGAGAGAAATCACTGGTGCATATAAGGATTGTCTCTCTAATAGTCAGAACTGTCTACAGTGGTATGAGCTGGTCAGTTTCTCATTCCTGGAAGTGTGTAAGTAGAGGCGGGCTGACTACCTTATGGGACACACAGGAAAGATCCAAGCCATAGAGGGGACTAACTCCGATGGCCCAAGGTCTCTGGTTCTTTGTGGTTGAGCATCTCTCACTCTATGATGGCCTCTGTCATTGCAGGGTGGCCCTTTGACAACATCACATGTAAGACAAGCGGCTTGGTGCAGGGCATGTCTGTATCGGCTTCCGTTTTTACACTGGTGGCCATTGCTGTGGAAAGGTGAGTGGATTCCAGGTTGGGTTATCCTGGACTGACTGGGGCCCGGCACTAGGAAGAGCCCCTGTCTCCACTGTTGGCCTGACTGGAAGGCTGGGGCTGCTGTGCAGTTGGTGAGGCTGAATCCTGAGCCATAAAGGAAGGATTGTGGGGCTGGCGATCCTTTAGACTTGGAGGACCTGCAGAGGACACCACCACCTCCCTCTGGGAGGTCTAGAGGCAGCTTCCATGGAGGTTTAATCTCCCAAGGAGACTCCAGGGTCTTATGAGGAGCTAGAGGGTATTCCTTGTTTCATGGGCAGCAGAAATTCTGCCATCCATGAGTCTGAGCCAGGGGAGCCAGCTTGAGGGTGGGCCTCGGGATGGCTAGGGAGGAAGGGTTTCTCTACTCCCTCACTATGCCTCCACCATCTCCTTGCTCGTCCCTGGCAGTCCAGGCCTTACTGGCACTCCACCCCGTCTCTCGCTACTTCTAATCTTCAGCCTCAGATTCCATCAAATTCTCTGATACACTTGGGACTGCTAATGGAATGGAATTGGGGGCCAGGAAGGCTTTGTAAACGATAAAACTGGCCCAGCTGCAGTGGGGGTTCCTCCTGCCACTCCCCCTCCATGGGCCCTTTCACTAAGGGTTCGCCATGGGGGCCTCTCCCCAGGCACAGAAGCAGGCCTGTAAGCTGGAGGTGGTTTAGTCATTGTCTTCAGTCTTCAAACCAAGCATCCTCTACTCCCTGTGTGACCTTGCATAAGTCACTGAACTGCTCTAAGCCTCTTAACTACTCTAAGCCTCAGTTTTAACAACTAACATGGCAAATACCCTACCATTTACAGGAGGGTGTCAAGGAGGTTAAAGTGAGCTTCTACTGGTAAAAGCTGATGTGCATTACCTGGCAGAGTCCAAATGTCAGCTGTGAACATTATTTTATTTCTTCTGTACACCCACACCCTCTTCTTTGACCTCTTCCAAACCTGGGCAGTTCTTAGCTCCACCCTTTCTAGAATCTAGCGCCCTCATTCTCTATCCACCTCTGCCCTCATTCCCCCCAGTTTCCTGCCCAGTGAAGTAGGCAGCTGGAGGGACAGAACTGGGTTTGTGTCTCTGCAAGGCCATTAACTAGCTGGGTGAATAGGGGAAGTCCCTCTCCTTCACTGATCTTCATTTTGTTATCATGGTTAATGATACATGAGTGTGGAACCTCTCCCAGCAGTGTTTGCAATATTCTTCAAGTTCCTGCCTCCTCCAGGAAGCCTTCCTGGTCTGCCCCAGGATTCTCTTCCATCCATTAGCTGCTGTTGCACTTACAGCCAGTACTATGCTTTAAGAAGTATTTGTTTCCTGGCAATTTCTTAAGTATGTGATGTTATGAAATCCTTAGAACAAAGTTATATAGGTTGAGACCACAAGGCTGGAGACAGGCTGTGGGAGAGGTAGAAGGTGCTGTCAGGCAGGGAAAAGAGTGAGTAGGTGGGAGAGCAGGACATAGTTTGGTGAAGTGGAAAGAGTTCTTGACTGGGCATCAGCTCTAAGCCTGTGTTCTAGTAGAGATTCAGCCCCTAAATGTGATATTTCTGGACTAATTAGATTAGCATCTGTGGCCAGGAGAACTGGGCACAGGTATTTAAAATTTTAAATGCTTCAGAAGATTCTGATGAACAGCAAGGCTTTACAGCTGATGGTTTATATGGCAGAGAGAAGTAAGGCTGGTCCCTTTGACATGCTAGCTGTGTGACATTGAGCCAATTATTAACAGCTCTGACCCTCAGTTTCTGCAATTGTAATAAGAGTGTAGTAATAATCACTGCTGAGATGTTCTACTGAGGAAATGGTACAGACCTGTGGTAATACCAGACACACTTCCAGGGACGCTGGGTAAAAATGAGAGACAGCCTGTCAAGTAGATGCCACACCTGAACTCCCAAGATTTTCCAGAGAGATCTATAAGCAGCTAAAAATTATTTTCTTTGATATACCTAATCAGCCTACTCAAGGACAGAGTGTGCAGACTGATCACTATGCTGGCTGCCAGCGAATGAGTTTACTTCCCAAAGTGCACAAACAGGATTCATTGTTCCCACGCTGCCTGCAGGTCCCTCCTCCCCTCCCTCTTGTAAACCCTGTTTTTGCCTTTGTTACTTGGCTACTCCTTGAGGGGCTGACTCCCTCACGGACAGAGAAGCCAGTTTACTTGCAAACTAACCTAATTAACGTTTGTCCTTTGGTGGTGCCTAAGGTGTCCACACCCCGCCAGCCCTCAACCAGGATTAGCTCTCCTCTGGGGGACCACTGGAACCCCGGTTCCCCTTCCTCCCTCACCACAGGTTCCGCTGCATCGTGCACCCTTTCCGCGAGAAGCTGACCCTGCGGAAGGCGCTGGTCACCATCGCGGTCATCTGGGCCCTGGCCCTGCTCATCATGTGCCCCTCGGCCATCACGCTGACCGTCACGCGCCAGGAGCACCACTTCATGGTGGACGCCCGCAACCGCTCCTACCCGCTCTACTCGTGCTGGGAGGCCTGGCCCGGGAAGGGCATGCGCAAGGTCTACACCACTGTGCTCTTCGCACACATCTACGTGGCGCCGCTCACGCTCATCGTGGGCATGTACGCCCGCATCGCCCGCAAGCTCTTCAAGGCCTCGGGCCCGGCGCGGGCTGGAGAGGAGGCGGCGGTGGAGGGCGTGCACGGGGCCCGGCGCAAGGCCAGGGCGGTTCACATGCTGGCCATGGTGGCGCTGTTCTTCTCGCTGTCCTGGCTGCCCCTCTGGGCCCTGCTGCTGCTCATCGACTATGGCCAGCTGAGCGAGCCGCAGCTGCACCAGGTCACGGTCTACGCCTTCCCCTTCGCCCACTGGCTGGCCTTCTTCAACAGCAGTGCCAACCCCATCATCTACGGCTACTTCAATGAGAACTTCCGCCGCGGCTTCCAGGCCGCCTTCCGCGCCCAGCTCTGCCCACCGCAGTGGGGAAGCCACAAGGAGCCCTACTCACAGCGGCCTGGCCAGCTCCTGTGCACGCGGGTCTTCGTGGAGGTGCAGCCCAGTGACTCGGGCCTGCCCTCTGAGTCGGGGCCGAGCAGTGGAGCCCCTAGGGACTGCTCGCCTCTCCCTGCGCAATGGCTGGGTGGCCCACCATGGCTTGGCCCGGGAGGATCCCGGCTGCTCCCATCTGCCCCTCACCATACCAGCCTGGGATATCTGAATGGAACAGGGTGGGCAGGCCCTTGAACCTGAGGGCCCGGCCTGGACATGTGATACCTGGCCATGACAGCAGCCTGGTGTGGCATTAGAAGAGGGTGCCATGTGCCTCTCTCTCAAATATACGGCTGTGGGGCCATGGCTCCTGGTATCTTTGCTGTTGTTTCCTTCCTCCTCCAGGGAAAGGAGCTAACTTTCCCTGAAAGCCTTCTTTGAGGTAGACTCCATGAACATCTTCTCACTGAATTTTTACGACACTCTAGGAAAGGTATTCTTATCCCTGTCTACAGATGTGAAACTGAGGCCCAGAGAGGAGGTGTGACTAGCCCAGTCTCTCAGCTGAAGTCTCACAGGAGCCTGACTCCAGTACCTGAATGGAGTTCACCATCTCCAGCTGTCTCCAGAAGGGGCCATTAAGGGGGAGCACAGTGAAATGTGTAAGTGTTACCCGCAGACACTAGAGCAGAATCCTTGCTTCTTGTCTTCATGTGTTAAAAGTATTTAACACTGGAGACTTAGGAGTATGAGAGCAAGCAGTCACTTTATTAGAGATGTGAGGAAATAGAAACACCTTGATAGCCAAGGTGGGCTGCTCAAAAGAGAGTCAGCCCTGGGAAGAATCAGGGTAGCTACTATTATGGGGAGCAAAAATGTTTATCCAATAGTTATTAGGTCATCTAGCATGAGTAGGGTTGGTTTTAATTAGCACATGTGCAATTGGACTACATACATACATGTATGTTGCAATGGTCATTTCATGTAGTATTAGCATATAAAATCTCCACCCAGGGATGGGAAATTTAGTATTATAATGAGCAAAAGGCAACAGAACACCAAATTTCCCTTATGCACATGTCTCAAGTTGTTTTTCTCAGTCCATTGATTATCTGACCAAGTGGTCTCTAAACCTAGGACACAGTGGCTGTGAAACTTGTTAAAACAACAGGTTGACATGAAACACAAGACGTACTGGAGCCTTACAGAGCCAGTGGTCCAAGTCACAGACATTTTGTCAGGACTTATGTGGGGTTGGACTGGTCTCCATTTTTTTTTACTTATCTCATAAATTCTAATTAAGCAGCTGGGAAGAAGCAAAATGCAAATCTGGCCTGTCCATTTGATGCTTTGTGTCCGTGCCCTGGAGTCCTTCATGTGTTACTGAAACCTCTCCCGTTGCCCCTTTCCTGGGAGGACGTGGTGTGCTGCCAGCTCTGGGTGGGTTTGTCTTGTTTGGGTATCCAGGACCATTCTCTTCTGCAATGGGACATCCCATCTGGCAGCTGTGGGAGGGGTGCTGGGAGCCTGGGTCAGCTGCAGGCATTCTGGGTCTTGCCCTCTGGGGCTGAGCCCAGAGAAGGGAGAAGGGAGCTCTGTCCTCCCTTCTCCCCTCGCAGAGCCCAGCACCGGCACCCACGCCCAAGCAGGAACTGACAATTCAGCAGACAGCTGCAAGGCCACGTGGAGGCATTGGTTTATTTACTCATGAACAGAAGGAAAGGAAAGCCACTACCCACTTCAGCCTTTGGAAACACATCTCCCCACTGGAGCTGCAAGTACAAAGCCTCCTCCAAGGCTTCTTCTCCCTGTTCCCTCACAGGGAGGGGGTGGCATAGGCCAACCACAGCTGGGGTGCCCTTGGGGCCTCCTGGAGGACAAACACTAAACTCCTGGGTGCAGGTAACTCATGTACCTAAAGACGGGTGGGGACCAGGAGGCCCCTTGTTTTCTCTGACCCAGCACACCTGAGTCACCTAAGGAAACAAAAAGCTTCTCTCCAGGGTGGGAGGAAATGGTGATGCCTGCACAGACCCTGTGATCTGCAGTGAAGTGTTTTGCATCTGCAGTGATGTTTTCCCCTAATCTTTAGAGAAAACATAATGCTGCTAGAATTTTAGTGAATAGAAAAGAAACATTTTCAGGGGTCAGGGCAGAGAACGTAACTCTGAGGCTCCATTGTTTCCTTAATCCACTAGCAATGACTTAACCCTATTTACTCTTCTCTAAATCCTGGCTGTAGGGGCAGAAGAAAATTTCTAAGCAATTGTATAGTATGTTCTCCAAGCATGTCCTTACACAGTTTCACTTGGTCCATATAAATGTGATTGAAGGAGATGTTGCCACTTCAGAAAGTAACCGATACTCAAAGGGGCCAGGTTACAGGCCACAGAGTGGCAGGGTTTGGATTAGAATTTGTCTTCAGATCATTTCTTCCCATGGGGCAATCTGCCTCTCAAGGAAGATAGATTTAGTATAATGGGAGGAGAGCTGGAAATTCCCAGAGGCTTTCTGCCTCAGTGAACCAGTACACTAATGGAACCAGAATCCAGAAATGAAAGTCTGTTGTGTTTACTCTTACAATATCCTGCCTGAGTTGTTCTGTGTACAACATCCTTAACCCATGTGTTGAGTAGCTGCCAAGACCCGTCATGACCACACCAATCCAGATGTCTGCGGGGGATGGATAAGGGTCTCAGGAGAGGGTATGCCGTCTTGCTCTTCATTAGCTAGTGCATGGATGGGGCCCATTGCTAGTGCTGTGTTACTGTTATGTGTCACATAGGCTGGAGACTTCCCAGCTGTTTATTGTGAAGAACTTTGCCTCCAGGATGTACGAATTGGCGGGAGAAAGGGCCATCTCAAATGCAAATGCTTGTCCCTGTGGCTGCGTGGGATCTGTCTGGAGACACTGTCTGGCTCTCCTCTGGGGAACCTTTCTCCATTCGCATGGCCTCCCCAACCACAAATTTGCAGCATTTACAGTGGTGGGAGACCAGGGCGCTCACCTAAGCCAACCCTTCTACCAAGGCACCTTTGTTTTATTTCTCCCAAAAGATGCCATGCTTTGAAATATTGGACCTCCCCAAAAAACTACACTAGGTCATAATTCATATATTTTGCTGCTATTTTTTTATTTATTTAAAAAAACAATCAAAGGCTATGCCTGCTCATTTAGAGATTTTTCTCTGAATAGTAGCAGGCATGACTTGATTTCACGATGAAGTGGGTACCAGTGGAATGTTCATTTTGTATGTATTTGGTAAAATACACGCAACATAAATTTACCATTGTTACAATTTTTAAGTGTACAGTTCAGTGGCATTAAGTGGATTCACACTGTTGTATAACTAACCTCACTGTTGATTTCCAGAAATTTTTTAACATCCCAAAAGTGCAACTCTATCCATAAACAATGACTCCCTATTCTTCCCAGCCCTGTTAACCACCATTCTACTTTCTGGCTCAATGAATTTGACTACTCTGAGTACCTCATACAAGTGGAATCATACAGTATTTGTCCTGTTGTGATTGGCTAATTTCATTTAGTATAATGTCTTCAAGATCCGTGGTGTAGTAGATGTCTGAATTCCTTTCCTTTTTAAGACTGGATAATATTCTATTGCATGCCATATTTTGTTTATCCATTCATCTGTTGGTGGACATTTGGGTTGCTTCTTGTTTTGACTGTTGTGAAAAATGTGTGGAGTTTTAAGATATTGGAAGTAGTTCCTGAAAATAGTGCTTGTGTGAGCCTTGAGGACAGAGACCCTAGGTTGGAAACCCAGGATCTCTCCCAACTTAGCATATGGAAAACAAAGCAGAGACTCCAGGAAAGCTGCAATTCATCCCACTCCTCTTTGCCCACCAACCACTCAGAGCTTCTTTTTCTGGGCTTTACTTCTTGACTTGAGTGGCTAGAAAATTGTGTGTTTCCTCTATGGGATGGTATTTTATGAAGCTATTTTTATAATTATAGCTTTATTATCCTCACCGGAGAGCTGTGTCCTGACACCAGGGCTCTGTCAGAAGCCTTGTCCAGCTTCTCCAGGGTATGAGATAGTAAGCAATGCAGCCTCCTCCTGAAGTACCACCCTGTCTGCGGGCTGCTCGGGTCTCCTGAGGTGACTGCCCTTTCACAGGCAGGAAGTTTGGAGATGAATTGAAGAGGCCTGTTGACGCCGGGCACCCCCACCCCAGAAGGGACTATGTGTCCCGTCTTGCCACATGCAGCATGAGTGGTGATTCCAATCATGGATCTCCATTGATCAATAGCCCCTTGACTTCACCATGACCACGCAGCACTCAACAGACCAATGTGAGCTGGAGGCAGGCGCCCCACCTGGACCCCACAAACCACAATCTGTCCAGCCCTATGCTGAGGACTTTATCCTGGGAGGATGCATGAGTTGCTTTGGGTTGGAATGGAGGGCAGTGTTGGCAAAGTAGGGTGAGAGCCCCCCTATCATTAGTCTACTGTGTATTCATCCAGAATCCAGATGAGAGCCAAACCAAGGACTGGAGGGACAAAGCATTGCTATTAAGCTCTGTACCTTTTTTGCATCCACCTCCTCAGCTCACCCCTTAGAAGTGCCACTGAGGAAAGATAGATGAGAAGGAGGTGACCCAAATGGGCCTCATTACAAGCAAACAATGTTGAATCAACAATAGACTCCTTGTTGAATATCCCAATTATTTATGTTAATGGTATTTTATTGTTGGGTTTTTTTCCTCTCTCTATACAAACACTCTGTGATCATTGAGAAAGTTTTACAAAATTTAGATAAGCAAAGAGAAGAAAATAAAAAGCACCCAAATCCCACCACAGCAAATAATCTTAGAGTCACATTTAAAATGTAAAATTTTGCAACAGCTTTATTTAGCATAATTTGCATATGATAAAATTCACTTACCTTAAGTGTACATTTCGATGAGTTTACCTGTTGCATACATTTGTGTAACCGTCACCACACTCAAAATATTTTCAACAACTCCAAAAAATTCCCTCCTGCCAATTAGTAGTTACTCCTTTCCCTGACTCCTGGCCCCAGATAACCACCCATCTGATTTTGGTATGTCATGTACATGGGACCATACAGTGTGTAGCTTTTTGAATCTGGCTTTTTTCACTTAGCACAATGTTTTTGAGATTCATCTGTGTTGTGGCATGTATCAGTTATTTGTTCCTTGTTAATCCTGAGTAGTATTTTGTTGTATGGATATATCACATTTAATTTGTCCATTCATCAGGTAATAGGCATTTAGGTTATTATCAGTTTATTTATTTATGAATCATAAACAATGCTGCTATGAAAATTCATATACAAGTCCTTATATGTGTGTTTGTTTTCAATGCTCTGGGTAAATACCTAGGAGTGGGTTTGCTGGGTTGTGTGGTAAGTGGAACAAACTGTGCAACAAACGGCCCAAGTGTTTCACCAAGTGGCTGAACATTTTGTGTTCCCATCAGCAGTGTGTAAGAGTTACTATGCAACACATAGTATATCGGCCTCAAAAATTTCCCTGACGGCTAGTGATGCTGGACATCTTTTCTTAGTATGTTTATTGGTCATTCTTATATCTTTTATTGTAAAGTGTTTTCAAATCTGTCTACCTTTGAAAACTATGAATATATTGTGGTACAAAAACTTGCCCCAAATCTGAAAGGAACTTACCACTAATAGATGATTTTTAAATCCATTCTTGATGGGTTTAAAGCAAAATAAGTAGATAGAATGGGATAGAAGGTGAGAGGGCTATTTTAATAGGTGGTTAGGAATGGCTTCTGAGGAGGTGGTATTTGAGGACAGATAGGAATGAAGTGAGAGAGGGGGGCCATGTGAATAGCTGAGAAAGAACAACCCAGATAGAATATCATGTGCAAAGGCACTGAGATAGGAGAGAGATCAATAAAAATGGAATAAATACATATAAACATGGAACAGAATTTCAGTAGTTACATTTCCGGTCAACTTGAAACATTTACTAAGTCCTGTTAAAAGCCAGGCACAGTACTAAGTGCTTTGTCTGTTATATATTTCTCATAACTATAAGCTCCAGAGGACAATAGCTCTGTCAATTTCACTCATCTTTGTAGACTTAGATCTAGGATATTGCCTAGTACATGGGAGGCACTCAATAAGTATCTGTTGAATGAATGAAATAATGAAATAAGCAGGTGTTTGTTATTATCCCCATGTTATATATGGAAAAACCAAGTCTCAAAGAAGTAACTTAATGAACATAACTAGATGGAGAAACCAAGTCTCAAAGAAGTAACTTAATGAGCATAACTAGATGGTGCTGAAGCTGAGACTGAAATCTTGGTCATCTGACCAAGAAGCCCAGATTTCTGCAACTCTCCTGAGCTGCTGTGGATTCTCCTTCCTATATTTGGGAAATTGAGGTTCAGAATAAAACAAAGGAACTTGATGAAGGTCTCCTTTAATCCTAAAAATAAAACCAGCCAACCACAGGCTCCAGTCTGTTGTTTGGGCCAGAAGACCATATTTCCATCACATTCAGTGGCTTCCAAAGCTTTGAGATAGAAGGAATACCAGCAGTTTAAGAAAAAGGTGTATGTTTAGTTTGACCCAGCACCACATCAAGCCTATATGGCAGCTGTTGGCTGAAAGAAATCATCCTTTTGATACCTCTGCCTCATAGCCATTGATGGGGCAAAAGCTGCCCAGCTGGCTGTAATGTCCTGCCTGGAGTTGTTTGCCAGCTGCAATGCCCATGCCTTGGAATCCCATCACCAACAAATGCTGCTGTTGTCATGTGCAGGCAACCAAATTAATGTGGGTGGAAAAACCCAAGCTTAGTGATTTGGGCAAATTAGTTTATCTGTCACATAGCCAGCAGTGGTGTTAAATCACTCTCTGTTTGAGGAGTAATCCCTCCCCACCTCACTCTGTCTCCCTCTCTGCGGGGAGGGTAGAATAGCCAAAGCCAAGCTGTTTTCGTGACAGGGCATCCTATGTTCACGTGTTTTGGCCATCCCCCGGTAAGAGCATTTTGCATAGTGTATTTTGTTCATTCATAGTGCTGTCTGGCTGTCCTTTGAAGCCACCTCTACTGATCATAACCACCCCTTCATTCTTCTCTAGTCCACGTCTTTGGAAAATGATTCTGTTACCTATGCTATAAGGTATGGAAAATAAAGTCATTATGAAAGAGCTTGGTGCTTGCTTTTTACTTTCCACCATATTAGGTTTACCCTTTTGCTTCTTCACTGAGAATGAAAAATTTCCAGGCAAAATAGCCACTGTCCTCCCCAACCCCCCCCCCCCACAAAAAGATAGACAGTAAGCTATGTTACCTGCAACAAAACTGGAGTATTATTATTTTACAAATGGGAAAATGAGTTGCATAGAGGCCAAGGCATTTCCTTGAGGTCCCCACAGCTTGTAAGTGGTGAAATCAAAAAAAAATTTTTTTAAGTTGCAGTCCAGTGTTCTTGACATAACACCAAACTACCTACTTGGTTAGCTCCCTACTCTTAAGCATATGTGACAATTCAGACGAAACTTAATTCTGGCATGCATACACTCAACAAGCTTAGTGTCCCTTGAGTTTGGGGACGTGTCTCCCCATAGTCCAGTGAGCAGATATGAAAAAAAAGACAAATTATAATGTGGTATGATACTTTCTACGATGGAGCATCATGGTTGGCCAAAGAAGATGTTCATCTGTTAAAGTTCATGCTGGCAGCAGGTAGAGAATGATGGGGAGGGAGATGGAGCTGGAGGCCAGTGAGGTAGGAGGTGTTTGTGGGAATCCAGGTGAGAAATCCTGGATTGGCTACAGCAGAAGCGATAGAGAAGAGATGTTTGAGAGACCAATTCAATATCACCCAGTAACTGGTTGGACATGGGAGGATGGGTCATTATCTAGGATGTTTTTACTTGCCGGTTAAAGAAACCTGACTCAAACCAGCTTAAAGTGATATACTGGCTCACATAATAGCCCAGAGAGGTTGGATGGGGTCCCTCTTTGCAGCCTGGTTGGGAGAGACATTGAAAGGGCAAGCTCCCAGATTCTATTTCAGCCAATTGGGACCCGGATCCTACCTCAGCCAATTAGGACCTGGATCCTATTTCACCCAATCGGAGCTTGGTCTCTCTCCTCTCCATTCAGCAAAGAGCTCACCCACCACCCTTAGACTCTGCCAATTGACCAGAGCCAAGACCTATTACCCCACTAACTACCCCTAGATCCAGCCAATCAGCCAGAGCCATGACCATCACCCCACCAACTGCCCTAGAACCCCATAAAACCTTTGTGGTATTGAAACTCGCTCTTTTTCTCTGGCATCTTGCCACTGCATTGTTGTAAATGAGAGATTGAGCTCGAGCTAGCTTGAATAAAGGCTCTTTGCTTTTGCATCGGTTTTGGCTCCTTGGTGGTCTTCTGGGATTTGCGACTTTGGGCACAACAACATCAGCAAGCACAAATGGATGACTGCTTGTAAGCAATAACCAGGTTTCTCCCACTTTATTTTTCCCCTTGACTGATGTCAGCTTCAAAGGTATTTTGCCCAGGGCTGGGAAGGTGTATCTCCCCCACAAGGAGTTACACATACCTATGACCAAACTAATCATTGGCCAGGGAAATGGAATCGCTGTTATTAACTTAAATTAATCAGACCCTTCGTGGGGCTGGAATGCCACTACATTACCCAAAGCATTTGTCCACACAGAAGTAGAAGGATACATGCCTGAACAACTGAGTCTGTTGGGAAGGAGAAAGGTGTTTGACAGGCAACCACCAGTGGCTGCTGCAGAGGTTAACCAGGAGGAGTCTAGAGGAACTTCCAGGTTGGCTGACTGGCATTTGAGGCACTGCTAACTGAGACAGAGGACTCAAGAAAGAAAAGGGTGAGCTCATTTTTGGACTTGGTGAATATGAGATGCTCATGGGCCAGCCAAGCAGTGAAATCCAGAAAGAAGCTGTATATAATATTACACTGACCACCCCTTTCCTCTTAACACCCTTTTCTCCTGGCTTCCAAGACACTATACTATGCTGTTTTATCTCTTATGTATCTGGCATTACTTCTTGGGCCCCTTTGTTGGCATTTTCTATCTCCAGGGGGAAAATACCTTTGAAATCGAAATCAATCAAAGGGAGAAATAAGATGGGAGAAACCTGTTTATTGCATACAAGCAGTTGTCCATTTTCACTCCTGGTGTATCTCACTATTTGGCTGCAGAAGAAAAGGGGCCTCACCCAACCTCTCTCTCAACCTCTCTCCCCCTTGAAATTACCTATTGATAAGAAGATGGACTACAAACAGCTATTGCAAACAGCTATTGATATGGAGATGCACTAAGGCCAGGTGAGAGAGTCTGGAAATGTTGCAATTTTACCCACACACCTCTACAGCCATCCATCTCTGAAATGTTGGTATTTCTTGGGTTCTATTCTAGGCCCTCTTCTTTTTCAAAAATTGTATTATTCCAGGTATTTCCTTTATATGATCTCATCTTCTGTGGCTTCAACTGCCCAAATCAATGACTTCAGCCAACCTTCCCTTCTCTTCTGAGTTCCAGGCCTTCTATCTATCTACTCACTGACATCTCAACTTGACTTTTCTCTCTCCCCATCTCCCATAATTTCTGTAAGATTCTCCCCATTATTTGTCTGACATTCTGGACATTTTTTTCTTTGTCTTATATAAAAGACCAAGATGTGGGATGCTAATTCAGTCTCAGTCTTCAAGTGGGAAGACCAGTGGGGCAGAGCCATGTGTGACCCATATCACTACCACAGAACTTGAATAAGAAATTCAAGTTCATTCTTGGAAGTGATGAGGAAATACTCAGAAAGTTCTCAAATCCCTCTCTCTCTTGGCAGGTGTGGTGAGAAGCCAAGAAAGTCAAGGAAACAGGGTTTCTATTGAGGCTTCAGAAATGTAGAGGAATCACACAGTGCTTGGGTGCTTGGGATTGAAACAATGGAACAATGTATTCCCCCAACACCCCCAACTGGGACTCAGTGGTATGGAACAGCTTGTTAATCATAGTCATGGAAGCCCATTGGTTTATTATACAGTATCCAGGTAACCTTTACAGAAATGAATTAAAATATAACTAGCATCCTGAATACACCTATAGTGACCTAATAGCATCTACTGCAACAGTTTCTGGGTGCTGACTCCCCCCTTAGCTTTGTAATAAATGTATAAAAGACATGGCCCTGCTGTACTCGGAGCTCAGACCTTTGGTGATCACTCTCCTCTGAGCCCACTGGTGTAAAATAAACTTCCACCCTCCAAGACCTCCGAGTGCTGCTTGGTTCTTCCAGTCCAGGTTTTCTGGTTTTCTGTAACAGAAGCAACTGAGATTTTTTTATACTGTTTGTTACAGTAGCATAAACTAGTCAAAAATGGTTAGTCCAGTTGGCTTCCATCAGTTAGGCCCAGCCAATAGGAAACACTGGCAGGAGACTGGAGAATGTGAGGAGAGGAAAGAATATGTCTCCCCTTCCCTTTTTTGCCCCAGGCAGCATCTCCAGAAGCAACTTCACCTCCAGATGGGCAGCCCCACTGTGATTCCAGCTTCTGACCGTAGTGCCTGAGTTTCTCCCTTTGGACGATCCTGTCTCCTTGTCCTGCCTCGTCTCTCCAGCCTAGAGTTGGTAGTGTCTTTCTGCTGTTGCTAATCTGTATTGGGATTCTCAGCTCTTCTATTACTTATTGACTGATTCCCTGCCTTAAAGTCCCTCTATTTTAAGCATTTTGAGTAGTTTTGTTTGATTGGACTCTAGCTGATACACTACTGTATGTACAAATTTTGGAGTTAACTATCGATCACAGATACCTCAAACTGTGATTTTTAAAAAGATATATTTGATTATACACATTTTTATCATCTTAACCATTTTTAAGTGTACAGTTGAGTAGCATTAAGTACATTCAAACTGTTGAGCAACCATTACCACCATCCAGCTCCAGAGCTTTTTTCTCTTCCCAAACTGAAACTCCACATGCATTAAACAATAACTCCCCATTCCCTTTTCTTCCCAACCCCGAACAATCACCATTCTACTTACTGTGTCAACAGATTTGAATACTCTAGGTACTTCATGTAATTGGAATCACACAGCACTTGTCCTTTTTGACTGGCTTATTTCACTTAGTATCATGTCTTAAAGGTTCCTCCATATTGTAGCATGTGTTAGAATTTCATTCCTTTTTTAGGTTATCAGTCCCTTATCTTCCATTCCAACCAATCAGTTTCATTATTTCTACCTGAAACATCTCTCTGTACCCAGTTTTTTTTTCTTTTTTTGCCACCCAAATCCAGAGCACCTCATCCCCTTTTACCTGGGCTACTGCAGTAGCCTTCTCATTGGTCTTCCTGCCTCTAGCCCTACTAAACTTCGAGCTCTGAGATGCTAACAGAGCCACTTTTAAAAGCAATTCTGATCATGTCATTTTCCTACTAAAAACCTTTCCTAGATTTCCCATTGCTTTTAGGAAAAACTTCAAGCCATATATCATGCTTTCCACATTCCTCCACCATTTAACCCTGACCGCTTCTGTGATTTCATCTCTTAATCTCCTCTGGCTTCTGCTCTTTCCCCTTGCCTTCTTAACCCCTTCTCACTCTTCAGGTCACAGGTTAAGTCTCACAATACTTGTACTTCCTCTATCCCTCCACTCATCCAAATTTTTTATAATGATTTGTTGAAGTGTTTCATCTCTTCAGACTCTAAATTCTGTGAGGGCCAAGATCATGTCTTTCTAAGTGCTGTTTCCCTACCTTTTAACACAGCAATGGCTTGAATAATTGTTAAATAAAACTTAAGCTACAGATGAGGAAGTTTTCACATTTAGGATTTATAGGTTGTAGCGGACACCAAATATATACATGGGAAAATCTAGAGAGAGGGTATCTCTAGAGAGGGAGGTGACATGAGAAATAAGAAAGACAGTGATGATTAAGATGAAGAGATGAAGACACGGGGAGAATGAGAAATGAATGGTCAGAATGCAGTCACAAGCTGAGGAAGAAAGAGCATCAGGAAATTGGAGCTACCAAACAGAGTTGGTCATACACAGCAAAGAGGACAAGATACAGACTGAAAAGGGCCATGGGATCTGATTACAGAGCAAGAAAGACAATG